CCAATGGCATTTCTCAAATCAATCCCAAAATATTAAAAGCAGTTGGAATTGGCTACACTTTGAGGAGTAGGGATGATGTGTTGGCTATGATTCTTCAAACTCCAATTTCAGAAATTTCATCTTCTTCAACAGAATCCAAACAAACCCAGCATCAGTGGTCGAACAGACTTCATCGAGCAAATTCGAACATACCCAAAATATTCGAACAAATCTATCTTCTTCGAATAGACTTTGAACAGACCCAGACCCAGAAATTTCGTCTTTTTCGAACAAGCCCGGTTATCGTCTTCTTCGAACAGACTTCGAAAACTTCGAACCAAAGCTTATCGAATCAGCTGCAATCATCCTTAATCTGTAGATTCCGGCCCTTCACAAAGAAGCTTTCAACAAAGATTTCGAACATTTAATCGATTCGACCTCCAATTTTCAGATCAAAACAATTGGATTGACTTCCAGATTCAATCTGTTAACGAGAAGGCATTACTATACTCTAACCAGGTGTTAGTTTGGATTAACTTACTTTTTGTATGTTAATGTTGGAATTGTGCAAATTGAAGATATTGCTCGAGCAGCCATTCTTATAGATCCATCTCCATGGAAGCTACTATTTGAGCTTGTGCTGAGCTTGTAAAATGACTTCACGCGCCCAAAATGTTGTTAGCAAACACGCACATGCCACATAAGCAACATGTATTTACTTGACACACTTAATAGCCTCTTGAAGTGTCTAAATGGTAAATGGGTCAGTCAATGTGTTTGTCTGATCGTTGGGGATAACTTAAAGGGGTCGTTTATGTATTTCGCCTATAATATAAGATCAACATGACATAGAATAATCTGAAATATGGGTGGATTTCACAAATAATCATATAATTATGATTTTTTTTTATCAAAGTAATATAACTTTGGTTTCTTATACAAAAATCATAAAACCTTCACTAACTCACATANGCATATGTCCAATTGTAATTCCCACAATCTTTTGTGTGGGTGTGTGCGCGCGCGCGCGTGGTGTGTGTGTGTTGTGTGTGTGTGTGTGTGTGTGTGTGTGTGTGTGTGTGTGTATGTGTGTGTGTGCGCGCGCGCGTGTCCTAAAATATTTATATCGTCAACAAAGGAGCCTACCGGTCGATTACATGATAAGTAAGACTTTATACACAACAATTATTTTGAGAAGTGTTTTTTTTTTTAAAAAGTGCTTTCTTTCAGAGAAAAGTAGTTTGTGTTTTGCTAATCAATTTGAATAGCACTTTTGAACAATAATTTGTGTTTGACCAAGTTTTTCGAAAAATGCTTTCTAACCCTGATAGGCTGTTATAATGTATCAAATATTAAATAAAAGTAGAAACCCTTATAAATAATCAAAGTATTTTTGTTGTGTTGCCTTACTTAGTTTCATAATTTGATACTCCTACTTTTCACTGATTTTATGGTCTCTTCTAATGATATCAGATTTTTAGATAATATAATCAACTATGATTAGTAAAAGATTGTGAAACATATAAATTTGGCTGAATAACCAGACACACTATCAAATTTTAAATTGTCAACTGTGATTATAAGATTGTGAAACATATATAACTTCGTTTTTATCATACCCCAAAATTGACGCACCAACCTCCATGTGGTAGATCCTATGTAGATACTAGATATTCTCCATTCCCATTTTCTTTTTAATTTAATTCAAATATTTGATCTCTGTAATTTTTATATAATTTAACCTAATATCTTAGTACTCCCTCTCTTAGTTTTACTTAGCACATTTTGACTTTTCACGCCCCTTAAAAAATAATAAGTGAAGTGTATAATTTACCATGATACCCATATTAATTGATGCATATTTTATTGGATTTGAGAAAATGATATGAAATGAGTAATAAATAGTGTGCGTATAACAGGGAAAAAAAATTATCTTCTTTTGATATACGTAAAGCGACAAGTAAAAATGATTTTTTTTTTCAATATACATGCCAAGTAAAACTGAACAGAGAGAGTAATATTTTATTTTCACTAAAATATAATTAAGTGTACCGTTTGCCTTGAAAAAGGGTGTGTGTGTGGGTGGGGGTGGGGGGGGGGGGAGCACCTCAAATGAATGTGATTGGCGAAAATGTATTACATGTAAGTTCCAAGGTCCAAATATCAGCTGCACACACTTTAAGTGCCATAAAAATACAAATACTATCTTCTCCCTTGAAATTTGAAAAGATACCACTATATTAATTATTTTATATAGGTAAATAATTAATCTTATTTACGTGAAGCAATACCAGAGGTAACATCTATAATGTACGATACTATAATAGTATGAGTTTTACTTCCCGGTGTAAATTGTACGATTAGATCACAATATAATTTTAAAAACTTAATAGTCGAACCTATAAAAATTTAAATTTGGAATCAGTCTCCATTGATAAATAATTAATATGAATTCTAATAGGAGTAATAATACATGAGAGATTCACTCGTCAAGAACAAAGAATCCTGTTTATGTATTCGCAATAATTATAGTTGGTGTTGCATTCAATCTTGTGGAATGTGGATACAATGGATTTAACATGATTTGTAGCCCGTTTGGCCAAGCTGCAAAAATCAGCTTATTTTGATAAGTGTTTTTTTTTTAAAAGTGTTTTTCTCAAAAGTACTTTTGGTGAGAAGCAGTTTGTGAGTTGACTAATTAGTTTGAAAAGCACTTCTGAGCAGCAATTAGTGTTTGGCCAAGCTTTAAAAAACTGCTTCTAAATGTATTTTTCTCAAAAGTGCTTCTCAAAAAGTGCTTTTGGAGAAAAGCTATTTTTTTTCTACTTCTCCAAAATTGCCTCTGCTTCTTCTCAAAAACACTTTTTTTCCTTCCAAAAGTTTGGCGAAACACCTCAATTTTTGGCCAAAAATGCTTTTGGCAAAAAAAAGCACTTTTGGCCAAAACGAAGCTTGGCCAAACAGGCTATTGACTTATCAGTAACTTTTTGAGAATCAACTTCCTTGTTGCTGATCACCATTGGATTCGTCCCAATGTTTATGGGCAGCTACATGTACAACTCTATCCACTTACTTACTTGTTTATTTTAAATGTTCTAATTAACTTTCCAGAGAATTCACTGAAATAAGTTTAAATTTTAAAAATTAGGGTTCAAATTATTTCAGTAAAGATAAAAAATATATTAGGTGATTTATTTATAATGGTACTTGGTTAGAGAGTAGAATATACTTTTTTAGGAAAATACTTTTTTATGCTACTCTCCTCACCCCCTTCCCCCAAGTCTCTAAAAATTCACACAAAGCCAAATGAACTAATGTGTTGCTTTACTTTTTTATGCAAAAATAACATTGAAATTTGTGCTCCATAACTAAAAAGAAAATACTCTTTTTTTGGTTGAAAAAAAAGTGCTCTTTCTACAATATGAAAATAAAGTACTCATTTTATTGAAATATAAGAAAATACTTTTTCTATATCATGAAAAGAAAATACTCATTTTGTTAAAATGAAAAAAAATACTTTTTTTAATCTTGAAAAGAAAACACTTTTTGTTGAAATGAAAAAAAAATACTTTTTCTCCATGAAAAAACGTATTTTTTTGGTTAAAATAAAAAAAAAACTTTTATATCATGAAAAGAAAAAATTCATTTGTTGAAATGAAAAAATATATATATCTATAACATGAAAAGAAAGTACTATTAATAATTTTTTTATTTAAAGAAGAATAAAAAAAGAAAGTTTGGGGATGTAGAGAGAGAAAGTAGAGAGAGAAACTCTGGTGACTGTTAAGCAAGGAAGCTGACAATCGCCGGCCACCGGTTTCCACCATAACCGACCTACACCAAAAGCTCCCCCACACTGTAAATATGACGAGACTAGTAACTCCTGAAAGCGGAATTCCACAAAAACTAGCTCCAATGCAACTGTTACATTGGCTACCAGGCATGGGAAGTGCTCCTACGATCATGCAAGCTCCACCGGAAAAAGAGGAAGGCAACGTACAACCAATGGAGGCAGGTATGACTACAGCGGCTAGAAAACTTACCTACTCAGCTGGATCTCAAAAGCAAACAATGGCCGAGGCTGTTAAAGGTAACAGAGTTCAAAACCAGGGCATGCAACTCAAATTCTATCCTCCGATGGCGAAGGATGGCGTGAAAATTGCCAAACTAAATCCAAAGGAGATAGAATTGCAAACCCAGAAATGGAAGACTGCATTAATAGGTTATGTCCTAGGGGGCAACCCGTCGTTCAAAGAAATGCTTAAGTTTGTCTATGGAGTTTGGAATGCTGTTACAGCTCCAACAGTGTTGTTACACGACGATGGGTACTTCATTTTTAAGTTTGACTCTATGGAGGACAAAAACCTAATAATGCAAAATGGCCCTTATACGTTCAATGGTAAGCCTATGATTTTGAAGGACTGGGATCCAAATTTCCAGATCCAGAATGAATCAATGAGAATTGTTCCAATTTGGGTCAATTTTCCTGGTTTACCAATTCAATGCTGGGCAGAGGAGAACTTAGGGAGAATAGCTTGCCTATTAGGAAAACCTTTATGCACTGACAAACTAACTGCTGCGTGTGAAAGAGTTTCTTATGCTAGAGTCCTTGTGGAGATGGACATAACTCAACCTTTGCCTGATGAAGTCTATATTGAGATACCAGATGGGAGAAGTTGGTTGCAGAATGTGGAATTTGAATGGAAATCGACATTCTGTCTAGACTGTAACTCATTTGGGCATAAGACTGGGGATTGTCAAAAGGAGGTGCAACAAGAATAAGGGCCAAAGAAGCAGAGAAGGAGAAGAAAGAAGAAAACCACAATGAGGTGGCAACCAAAAGCTGTAATTGAGGGGAGTACAACCACTCAGCAGCAAGATGAACCAATAGATCAACCTGAGGTGGAAGTACAGGTGAACAATAGAGGGAAGCAAGTTGCAATTGTAAAAGGATCAATTGATAGAATTAAACATAGTGAAATCAATTATGATGAGTTGGCTAAAAGGAATGCATTTGCTGCACTAACTATAATGGAGCCATCAGATGGGAATCAACAGAAGCAAGGAACCGGAAATGGGATAGGTCTAATGGACCAGGGAAGAAGCTCAAGTAACCATAACCCCCCATGATCATTGTATCTTGGAACATTAGAGGACTGAACAAGTCCTATAAACAGCGAGAATTAATGAAGTTCTTGCGGATAAATAAAGTAGATATGATAGCTTGCTTAGAAACTAGAGTGAAACAGCAAAAATCAAAATCTACAAGAAAATGGGTGGTGAGTGGAAAGTAGAGAATAACTATGCCTTTGCACCTAATAGAAGGATGTGGATAATGTGGAAAGAGATAAATGTTCATGTTACAATTCTAAAAAGCACAGACCAAATGATTCACTGTCAGGTGAAAGATAAGAATTCAACATTTTCTAGCTACATTACATTCGTGTATGGTCTACACACTATACAACACAGAGTATCACTATGGAGGAGCTTGAGAAATGTCCAACATAGTGGTCCTTGGCTTATAATGGGTGACTTTAACAGTGTGTTAAGTGTGGATGACAGGATAAATAGGCAACCAGTGCATCAATCAGAAATGGATGACTTTCAGGACTGCATTGATGACATTGGAGTGGGACAGATTACCAAAAGAGGAAATAGCTTTTCATGGAGTAACAAAAGGGATGCAGAAGTTAGAGTCTATAGTCATATAGACTGGGCTTTTGGAAATAGTGAGTGGTTCAATTCTTACACTGGAGTGGAGGCAGTATACATGTTACCTGGTTGCTCAGACCACACGCCTATAATGGTAGACACTGAGGTGGTAAAAGTCAAAGTGAAAAGACCTTATAGATTACTAACAACAGTGATGAACCAAAAGGAGTACAAGGAAACAGTTCAGAGGATTTGGAGACAACAGATCAAAGGATGCACTATGTATTCTATTTGGAGCAAATTGAAGAAACTTGAACAATGTACCAGGGACATACATAAGGAGCACTCCTCTGTTGATCAGAAGCTACAACGAATGAGAGAAGACTTGAAGGTGATACAAGGAAAGTTGAATGAAGATCACTTCAACAGAGTGTTGATTGATGAAGAAAAGAAGTCCCTAGAGAGCATTGAGAAATGGGAGGCAATTCAAGAACAGATACTGAGGCAGAAATCAAGAGCAACTTGGATCCAGTTGGGGGACTGCAATACCAAGTATTTCCATGCATATATGAAGTCCAGACAAGCAAGGAATAAGGTGAGTTGTATCCACAATGAAAACCAGATGAGAATTACTGATCCATAGCAAATTCAACAAGAATTCACACAATTCTTTCAGCAGCTATTGGGTACAGCAGCAGAACAGTTGCCAGGAATTGATATCAATGTGGCGAGAGATGGTCCTTGTTTAACACTGAACCAACAGCAACAACTGTTACTTCCAGTAACAAAGGAGGACATTAGCCAGATAGTGCAGAATCTACCTAATGACAAGGCACCAGGTATAGATGGCTACCCTGCAGAATTCTTTAGAGAGTTTTGGCCAATTGTAGGAAAGGAAATTGCAGAGGCAGTGCAACAATTTTTTCAAAATGGCAAACTTTTAAAAAATATAAACTGTACAACTGTTACACTGATTCCAAAAGTGAAGAATCCCAATTATGTTAAAGAATTTAGGCCCATTGCTTGCTGCTCAACATTGTATAAGATCATTGCTAAGATTCTGACAAATAGGCTTAAATTGGTTGTGGACTATCTGGTTGGGCCTTCCCAATTTGCTTTCATAGAAGGGAGGAATATTCTTGATAATGTTATTATGGCACATGAATTGATCAAAGGATATGCCCAAAAGGCAGTGTCCCCTAGATGCATGATCAAAGTAGACATCAGGAAGGCTTATGATTCAGTAGAATGGGAGTTTTTGAAGGCAATACTACTTGAGTTTGGGGTGCCTTACAAAATGGTAGCACTGATTATGAAATGTGTCTCTACAGTAAGCTATTCTCTTGTAGTAAATGGAGGACTGACCAACAAATTTGAAGCAAAGAAAGGGCTAAGACAGGGGGACCCAATGTCTCCCTATTTGTTTGTATTAGCCATGGAGTATCTAAACAGGTCATTGAAGAAGCTAAGCAGGAATCCAGATTTTAACTTTCACCCCAAATGCACCAGATTGCAAATCATACATATCTGCTTTGCAGATGATCTCTTGATGTGCTGCAGGGCTGATGAGATTTCAATGAAGCTATTGATGGAAGTATTTGAACAATTCTCAAAAGGTATCAGGCCTTCAAGCAAATTTGGAAAAAAGCTCATTATATATAGCAGGTGTTTCAAGGGAATTCAGAGAAAAAATACTTGCAGAACTTCATCTAACAGAGGCAGTTTTCCTTTTAAGTGCCTAGGAGTGCCCTTATCTACAAGGAAGATTACTATAGCACAATGTATGCCTCTAGTGGAGAAGATAGTGGACAGAATCAGAAGCTGGACATCCAAATTTTTATCTTATGCTGGAAGACTTCAACTCATCAAGAGTGTACTGTTTGAAATGCAAACTTACTGGGCTCAGGTATTCCTCATTCCAAAAAAAGTTATTAAGCTGGTAAATGGTATATGCAGAATTACTTGTGGACTGGTAGTCATGATACTAGTCATAGGGCTCCTATAGCATGGGAGACATTGTGTAAACCAGAGGCTGCTGGAGGTTTGAACATTATTGACTATGAGAGATGGAATAAGGCAGCCTTAACTAAGCTTCTTTGGGCTGTAATGTCAAAGAAAGACAAACTTTGGATCAAGTGGATCCACTGCCATTATATAAAGAAGAAGGACATTACTACTATGGAGATTCCTAAGCAAGCTAGTTGGCTAGTAAGGAAGCTGTTTGTAGCAAGAGAGTGGTGGGCTGATGATATCACAGGAGTGCAAGCCTGCACTCAGAATGGGAAATTCAGCATCAGGAAGGCATATATTCATACTACTCCACAATATCCCAAAGTCCACTGGAAATCACTAGTTATGGTGACTGAAATGCTACCAAAACAGAAGTACATTTCATGGATGGCAATGCATAGGCGTTTGGCAACAGTTGACAGGTTAGCCAAATGGGGAATTCAAGTTGATCAGGCATGCATATTATGTGGGAGAGATATTGAAGAGACACATGACCACTTATACTTTGAATGTTCATACTCACAAAGTCTGTGGAAAGGAATGTTACAATGGCTGAAGTGTCAAAGAACAACAGGCAACTGGGAAGCAGAATTGCAATGGCTAACTGCCAATGTCAACAACAGGAATCCAAGGAAGGCACTGCTAGGAGTGGTTTTTGCAGCAGTAGTGTACAACATTTGGATGGAACGGAATGATAGAAGCTTTCAACAACTGAGCACAGAAGCCAAAGATAGAGCAAAGGAGATTGCACTTCAAGTGCACATTGCTGGACAGAAGAAACCTAAATGGATACCTATTTTGCAGACTTTCAATAGTCACCCTATATGTAATCCTTGACACATGTGACAAATAGAGTCTATTTGTAGTAGGATTTAGCTAAGCAACCATAGTTGTATAGTTTTTATTTGGGTGTACTTATGAGATCTGTTCTATAGTCCAAATGAACAGATGATGTAAATTGACAAATTGGTTGAAATAAAATTTTCCCTTTCGACCAAAAAAAATAATTTTTTTATTTAGGGTGGGATGGGGTGGATGGGTTGAGGTGGGTAAGTGGGGGGTGGGGCATGGGGTTGGGGTTGGGATTGGGTGGGGGTGAGTTGGTGGGGGTGGAGTGTGGGGGTGGGTTGGGGTGTGGGGGTGGGTTGGTTGGAATAAGGAATAGGGTGGGGAAGGTTGAGAAGCAATTTTGGAAAATATTCAATTGGAGGAAAATGAGTTTATGAGAAAAGTATTTTCCAAAACATTTAAGCCAATCAAACATGGGAAAATTGCAAAATATTTTCTGAAAAATGTTTTCCTTCGTACCAAACACACCCTCTATATTAACAAATATACTGATTTTTATGATAAATCAAATGTTATAATGTAAGAAT